TAGCTTCACATAACTTTTGATTTTGGTTTCCATGTTGTGTCCTTTTAAATTCTGCACTTTGCACTGAATTAGCTCACAAGAGGAATGAGGTGTACAGTGATACACAGCTCTTTCACTCAGCTAACAAATGTGAAATTCTTAATGTTCCCATTGTAATGTTGAAAATAACATCTTGCAGTTGAGTGCCTCCTTATTTGGATGTCAGCTTTCATAAAAGTCACCGGGGGGCTGTGCAAACACCTGCTAATGGGCCACACTAAGCTAATAGCAGTTCCCATAACTGTGTCGTCATGTGACACTGAGGTCACACAAAAATGCATCTGATTGTTTACAATATTTTGCTGCGTTGCTGTTACTTTCTCTAAAAATACGGATATTTGATGAATTTAAAGCTATACAAACTAGTCATTTTCCAGTGTAGCTGTGTTGCATTTGATGGGTGAGATCAGTATCAAATTATTCCACATGGGTGATTATCAAGTCCATCCTCTAAGTGCCATAAATGGTCTTCTGGCAGGCTTTTCTAAACTCTGGGGAAAGAGCATTAAACATTTAGAAATGATGAGGCTAAGACATCCTCTTATTGTGCATTAAGTGTTTTCGCTACACACAGTACTCGCACTGACTCGTTTCTATATAATCCTGAAAAATTGATGAGTATGCTATCTTGAGAATTAACTATTAATAGTCATTAATTTGAATAATATCTAAAATGACTAACTTGAAATGAGAGGTTTTAGGATCATGATTAACAATCCTCTAATAAATATTGTTGGCAGCATAAAATTGCAGCTTCTTAAACAGTTTCCCCATTTTCATTTCCTTCCAGGTCAGCAAATTATCACAAGTACAGATAAAAAAATACAAGGTAAATTTTGAGATGTTTGTTGAAGAAGTAAATGGAGGCGTGAAGACACAAGAGCTAGAGAGGATGATGAGTTTAATTGGAATCAATCCTACCAAGACCGAGCTCATCCAGATGGCCAAAGATGTGGACAAAGAAGATACCTGCAAAATTCCTTGCTGTGGGAAAAAAAAAAAAACCCTCTGTCTTACTCTGCAGAGTTCTTGAGCTACCCATAATTTCTCCATATGTTCTCTATAGTGATCTTAGACTGAAGAATAGCAAATATTTTCTTTGGCCATTGGCTGCTTTTTCACTCATTTTCAGCCCAGTTCTTGCCCCTGACCATTTTCATAGGATTTTTCTTTTGTTTGTTAAACCATCTCACCTCAACATACAAATCATTCAAGCATTAAAAAAGCACCAAACTCAAGAGGTGAACCAGTGTCTACATGTAACAGACAACATATCTTTGGGCACTTTGTTACTAGCAGCTCTTCTCAAAAATGCAAAATTTGTTCTAAAAAAGAGCTTTGAATGTCCTCCAAGAAGCGTGGAAAACATTTCTTGAAGACTTCTTAAAGAAATTACAAGAAAACCTGGCAAAGAGAGTTCAGGCTGTGTGGAAGAGAGTCAATATTTGGTATGACCAAATATTGACTCTCAAGTGTACAAACACCGTTTTTGCCTTATATACTAAATTTAAAATTATGTTTGAACATATTTCAATAAATCACTGCACCTATTCATCATTTTCCTAGCAAAACATGCTAGGCATGGCATGGCTCAAGACTTTTGCAATGTACTGTATCTATCTAGCAAGTGGACATAGAACTTTTTAAGGTACTTCTGTTGTCTACTGATTGAGCTTTAATCAAGTTGTTGCAGTTGTTATGCTTTATTATACTGTGTTGCACGTAAACTGGTTCTATTTACGTACTTTAAAAAATGTTAATGTGTGCATTAGTGGAAGCTTTATCTCTTTAAAATCAGCCCAAACCAGACAAGTAAAATGCTGTAGCGATAATGTGGCTTATTCAACTTAGGAAAAGTGCTGATATGAAATTGATGTTTGGTGTTTGTTGATCTGATAAATTAATCTTAAGATATTTGTGGTATTATCCTTTGTGCCTATTCGGGCCCAGAATTTTAATACACATCTTAATCGATTAAGGATTTATGAAGCAGCTTTCCCAGAGAACAATAATATTCCAAAATGCATGCCGCAGTCTTACTGCAGGTTTCTCTGTAAATCACTAGGTGGCATTGTTTTACAGTGTGTAACCTGAGAAGTGTCCAGTGGTTTTATGATTATTTGCATTGCCG